GAACCTTTCGATAGTACAATTACTAACATGAACAAAAGTTAAAAATAGAAGAATAAATTGGTATTTTGAAAACGTATGAACTAAAATGAATCAGTTGAAGTATAATAGGATTTAAACTAATTATAAGATTGGTATAGTCTTGCGAGAGTTTCTAATAACGACTTTAATTTAGTCGTTATAAACTTGTATAATTGAGTTTAATTAGTGTGTGAGATTAGAATATAGAAGAAAATTGATATCTTGTATTTAGTCTCTATATTTTAAAAATTCTAATAAATTCTTAGAAATTTCAATTTTGTGTTTATAAGTTTCGATCATTAATTTTATTTATTTCCACTTGTGTCTCTAAACATTTAAACCTACCATGTAATTCCTACACTTGATATGGATTTAGTTAACCGAAAATTAAATGTTCAAAAATCTATAAAAAAAAATTTAAAGTACATTAGACATAACTTTAAACATTTATAAATCTATTAGAATTTATTAAAAGTACATAAGTTAAATAGACATGCCCTAAAAATTTAGGACGAGTCTAATAACCACTTTATTTTTTGTTTTTAATTTTTGAAAAATAAGCTTGTTTTCTCATGGCATATTTTAAAGCTTTCTTTAAAATACATTTCAATTCATAATTAAATTTCAAAACTACTTGTTAGTTTTTAAAATTTACCTTATATTTTGAAATTACCTTTAAAATGTAGATAACAAAATATAGAAATAAAAAGATTTTCATAAATTTAATTTTAAAAATACAAAATAAAAATAAAATAGTTATGAGACGAAGGTGGATTAACCATCAGACACATAGAACCATCCAAGTAATCATCTCCCTATTTTATGATATTGTTGTGTACTGAAAAAACAAATTACAGTGACCCGTTATTAGTGGCAATAATTATACGGATTAGAGTTGCAATTATTGGTAATTTAAGTAGATAATATACTTAGTACCATTCTAATATTCGATAGTTCAATCTCCAGCCTCTGCCATTATTGAACTCATGCAATTAAATAAGAGGACAACAATTTTCTATCGTTAAATTACTTTTGTAACTTTATATCTGATTAAATATATAAAAATAAATTACTAGAATTAATTATTTTGTATATGAAATAGATATATTGAAAACACAAATTTGTTCAAATCTCCACTTGCGAAATTGTGTTTGTTGGATAGTGTCTAGTTGGTACTATTTTGGCTCGAAAACATACTAATTTATGCAAACATAGACCCTTATTTTGTTCCAATCTTTTCAACTCAAAACACATGATAATCATTGTCTCATCTAAAGTGATCTGTTTCGATCAATTTATATAGGAGCTTGATTTAGCACACGAACAACTATCGCTCTTTCATCGAAATAGTCGGGTGTATTTCTAACGTGACTATAATCTAAAAGGTCAAAATACACTTTTGGTACTCGAGATTTAGAGTATACATCTATTTGGTCTCTGAAGTTTCAAAAGAGAGACCACTTTTGATCATCTATATTTGTAAAATGGTTCTAAATGGTCTTTAAAAGTATTTTGATAGTTGTTGACTAACTTTTAATAAGGCGATTTGACTGTTAAATTGCCATTGAATGGCTAATTGTAATGGCTGATATGGAAAATTTTTATTAATTTAATAATTTTTTTTTTTACGGTGATTGAACCTCTCCTTGTTCGGAAGACTTTGCCACCGACCACCTCCTCGCCATCGATCGCTACCTCTTTGTTGGAATTATGGAGCCAAATTTGGAACAAGTCGGGTCAATGGAGAAAAATGAAGAAAGGATAAAAAACAAAAAGGGAACGTTGCAGGGCCATTTGGCTGAGGGAGCGGTGCCACAGCGTTAGGGATATTACAGTGCTGTAAAAAAAAAGACTCGCATTTTGTCTTGTTTTGATGCTGTAAAGTTTACTGCGACCAACATATCAACACTGAACGTGTAAGTGCATGAATTTTAGAGGGCAGCGGCAGTGTTATTTGGCAGAGATACGAAGGCTAGATTCAGGGGTTGTACGTAGTGCATGGTCGACAACTTGTGGGTTATGAAGGCGATTGAGAATGTCAAAAGCCGCTCCTGTATTCTTACAATTCTATTGTTTAGCTCCTAGAAATTAGATGACTTTTATAAGGCTTCTAAGTTTGGGAGAGTTATTGTATTGTCCATTATTTATTCAAAATTATAGTAGAACCTATTATCATGGAAAATTAAACTTTTACTACACTTTTCGTATATCTCTTATTATTTTGGTTGATCATATTTTTCACCGACAAACAGTGCGAAAAAAGTTCTCGATAAGTAAATTTTCCCAACACACGACTGCCCGCCATTCTAGATCTATAAGAGAAACTCTTCCAGATATGAGACTTTGATGGAAGAGAAAATCTGAGAAACTTCATAAAATTGTGCTGCTCACCAGTCGGTTTGGATGGAGAGTTGGCCTTCTGCAATTTCTCGTCTTGTTGCTTCTGAAAGGTTGGGTGATAAATAGAATATATATGCTTCAAACCAGATTTACAAATTGAATCATATTTATCCGCTAAATATTTAGTTTAACCTAAAACAATATTAATTAATTTATTAACAATTTTGTTATAAATTTAGTAGAAATATTATTTTACATTACATGTTTTAATTTTAGCAAGAAAAAGAAAGAGTTTATAACATGAAATGAAATAGTTTATGTATCAAATTTTTTATTTTTTTAAATGTAATTTTGCCTTTTAAAGTTTTAAATTTAAAATTTTAAAACACTGAAAACATATAAATGTTGTTTCTAGAATTTTTTACCAAGATTCGAAAATATTTTTTGAAATAAATCGGTTATGAATCAATTTGATCCAATAAATCTAAAAATAAGAAACAGAATCCAAATTGCATACCAAACACATTCGGTGTAATATGCTCGGTAAATTAGATATATAACAAATGATCATGATGGGTAACATTTGACCCTCCCATTTAACCAAATATACATATTTTGAGTCATCTTGATAATTTTTTATTTTTTTATTTTTTTTTATTTTTTGTGCAAGAGACTTATGGTTTGAATTTTATTCATTCTAAAGTTTGGTATACTTATGTTTAGTGATTTAAAGATTTGATACAAATTTTTTTTCTCTGCTGAATTGTGATTTTTTCTTTGATTTAGAGTTTTTTTAAAGTAAATTCGTATATTTTTTTTATTGTATTTACTTTTAATTTCTCCGTTTATTTCTTCTAGATAGAAACCTTGATAAATGTGTAATATCTTAATTATTTCAACTATACTCACATTATTTAAAAAATATTTTGCTTTTTTTCCTTTAAGGTGACAAAGTAAAATGGAAAATTATTTTACAGATTCTCTTATCATAATTTTTTTTGTTCTTTTGGGATCAAACTTTGAAGTGAATTACAGCTATATTTACATGTGGAATGCACTCAT